GTGGAAGCGGAAAGAAAATAAACAAGATGTTCTTGCCTTTGATGCGTCCGTTGGTGACAAATTTGGGAATGGCTTGGGACCTAGGGAGTTCTCTTTTGATGAATTGTCTAAAGCAACAAAGAATTTTGCAGATGAAGAGAAGCTTGGCGAGGGAGGGTTTGGGGCGGTTTATAAAGGTTTCTTGAGAGATTCCAATACAAATGTAGCTGTTAAAAGGGTTTCAAGGAGGCCAAAACAAGGTATTAAGGAGTTTGTGTCAGAAGTAAAGATTATTAGTCGATTGAGGCATAAAAATTTGGTGAAGCTTATTGGATGGTGCCAGAAAAAGGAACTCTTACTTGTTTATGAGTTCATGACTAGCGGCAGCCTTGATTTCCATCTCTTCAAAGGGAGGAGCTTGATACCATGGAAAGTTAGATACAAAATCGTGCAGGGCTTAGCATCAGCATTGTTGTATCTACATGAAGAATGTGTATTGCATAGGGATATAAAAGCAAGTAATATTATGTTAGATTCAACTTTCAATGCTAAGCTTGGGGATTTTGGGTTAGCCAGGCTAGTTGATCATGAAAAAGGATCACAAACAACTTTATTGGCTGGAACCTTGGGATATATAGCTCCGGAGTGTCATAGAACAGGTAAGGCAAGTAAGGATTCAGATGTCTACAGCTTTGGAATTGTGGTACTTGAAATTGCCTGTGGTAGAAGGTCAATAGAGCCCACATACGATGACCAACAAGCATCACTGGTGGCTTGGATTTGGGAAGCTTATGGGAATCAAATGCTTCTTGATGTAGCTGATGAGAAACTCTCTAAAGACTTCAACGTGAAAGAGATGGAGTATTTATTACTCGTTGGATTATGGTGTGCACATCCTTCTCGTAGTATGAGACCGTCAATTAGGCAAGCAATCCAAGTGCTTAATTTTGAGGCAGCACCTCCAAATCTATCTAGTAAGATGCCGGTTCGAAATTATGATGATACACCTAGTACTTCCATCATTACAATAAGTGAACCTGGTTCACTCAGCATTACTATGCCTCGCTAATAGTTGTGTCTTAATTGCTACAAGTCAATTGATTTTGATAATAATTAAAAATGTGTGTTTCTGTAAGATGAATGGATTCTTGGCATTGCAATTTGAATTTTCTTCTAAACTGTTTATTTGAACAGTTAATTCCTCACTGTTTACCACAAAATCCTACATATCGAGATGTTTGTGTTTACGTGTGGTTAATTACTTATAATTTGATTATGCAATTTTTGTTGAATGTTAATTTTAAAGACAAATGTGACGAGTGATGACAACTGAAGTAGCTTTCAAAGTTTTTTTTTTTAACTAAACTCTTGGTCTCCGAAAGTTATGTTAAGTTTTGATTAGTTCAAAATCGAATCGAGTCAAATTTTATAAAAAACAAACTCTTTCAACACATATTTCTTTATTTATAAAATTTGAATTCGAAATCTTACAATTAATTTTTTTTACTTGAATCAACAAATCATTAGTAAGTTCCTTTCAAATTTATTGCCAAAGAAGAGGAAGCTCATAAGTAATTTCAGAAATGAGTAATTTAATTTTTTTGACAGAAGTGTTCATGCATACGTGCAGGCCACGCGTTTTGCGCCTTGTTTATTCTTTGAGATTGATAATCAATCTTCACACATTGGCTTTATCTAAACAAGGCTCTGTTGGAGCATCCTTCCAAGTAGGTGATCTATGCTGCCGTTTTCCATGTCAAATTCCCATCTGCCTTCATGTTTGTTAAGAGAAAAATAGACAATTTTCTCTGCATCCAGTTTTCCTCCTAGAGACTAACATGTAACGATTAGTCCACCAGAAACATGTTCTCCAGTTAAGACTCGCCATCTTCTTCTTCTCCCATGACAGATCTTGAATATTAAGCCGGAGTATTTGTACATCATCCACAACTTTTGTTGATTTCCTAGAAATGAGAAAGGATCAACAAAATCCTGTCATCATATTCTACCTAATCTTCAATGAAATTCTTTGACAACGTAGTAGGAACAGTCATTTTCAACCAATTATCAATTTTAACTACTAAACCAAACAAAGCCTATGTTTATTACTCATCGTAAGCACTTGTCAGATTTTATAAACCCACACCAGCACCTATTAAACTTTATTAATCCACAGCAACGCCCCTTGCAGAAGTTAATGGGCACATTACTAGGTCCTAGAACAAATTTAAAGAGTAAATTGTGAGGAAAAATTTAACATTATCTCTATTCAATTTTAGTTTTCTTAATAAATATTTTTTAAATGAAAATTTAATATAGTATATAAATAACATTTTAATTTTTATATTAAATTAAACTACTCAAACAAAACCACATGTAATTAAAGAAAAGAAAATTTTCATTTGTTATTTATATGTTTT